GCATCAAATAAACAAACCAGGAAAAATGGATTTTTTTTTTTCCCATTTCTTTTTCTTTTATCTGTCTGTCTTGTCTTTTATGCCATGATGAGTTAAAATAGTGTACCAAGTTTGGGTTTAGAATGTCCCTTTCACTGTGGACTTGTTACTGTTTCTCCAGTCCCTGTTTCCCTCTGCAGACGTTCTGCAGTGATGTTAACGTGCAGGGTGGGTGGGTTTGCAGAGAGCTGCTCGATCCGTGCTGTGCTCTGCTCTTCCAGAGTGGTGTGTGTCGTGATTCAGAGCTCATCGTCCCCGCAGCTGGCACCTTCCTGTTGCTTCATATTTAAGAATTCCGTGGGGCTTTACCTACTGGAAGGCAGCCTCTCAGCCCGGTGGGGTGTGCTGTCCCATGCTGAGGAGCTTCAGCCTTGGGACCACCTTCAGGAGCAGCGGTGGGGAGTCTGTACTGGCAGTGTGCTGGCGCGGTGGGCACCGCAGCCGCTGCGCCAGCCGGGGCTTGCAGCCCTCAGCCCTGTAGCATGGAGGTGAAGGTTCTCACCCAGGTGCATGGGCAGGTGCCAGAGTCAATTTGTATTTAACAACAGGGTTTCACGTCCTCCCACTTCCGCTGTGGCCATAACAATGAGGGAGGTAGGTGGAGAGAAATCCTCTGGTGACCCAGATCTGCTCCGTGGGCCGTAGGTGGAGCCATCAGGATGTGAGTAACTGGCACTGACCTCCTTACAAGGATGGAGAAATGGGGAAGAGAGGTGGTGTGGGAGGATGGCATCCTTCTCTGAGTCATCAGAGCCTTCACCACGGTGCGTGTGCACGGTGCCAGGCTGGGATTTTTTGTCTTTCTGAATTAATTCTTTGTTTTCCTGGTTTGGATTCTTCCTGCCCTCTACCCTAGTGCCTGTTTGTCCAGAGAGCGGTGCTTTGGGAGGCCAGGTCTTCTTGGATCTGCAAGGCCAGTGCAAATAGCCGTGTTTCAGCTGTATTTTTGTTCCAGAGATTATGGCTCAATGTCTTTTTTTATCAGGAGTCTTAAGCACTAACAATGTGCAAATAATAAATGGATATAACAGTGCACGCTCCCATTTTCCCATGATTTCTCTGCTCCAGGCAGGTTTCCTGTTCTGGGAAGTATTTCTATCTGGACATTCATTCTTCCCTTGCAACTGGAGTGACGAGCGCTGGACACGCAGAGGCGCGATGGTGACAAGCCCCTGCACGCACACTCCTGTCACCCGCCGAGAAGCCGGTACAGCCTCCGCCACAGGTGACTCGCTCCTGACCTGGAGCGGCCGAGGTTGCTGTGTGTGTGGGGGGTGAAGTCACCTCCCAGCATGGCACAGGTTAAACACAGGGAGGAGCTGGGCCAGGCAGCCCTGCACCAGGGGTTGGTGCCGCTGGACTTGCCTGTCGCTGTGAAGGGTCTGGGGGAAGCAGCCGTGCTGGGGACAGGTTGAGTCACTGCAGGTGCTGGTGCTGGGACCTGTGAGTAGCGTAGGGGGGTCTCTGTGTTCCCCTTGCAATTTTTATTTCAGTTTTGGCACTTGTATAAAGCGTTAGCTTTGAGAGCTCAGGAGGCTGAGATCGGTGCACAAGCAGTGGTAGCCTGAAGTCCTTGTTCTGCTCCTCCTCTCCCTCAACACACAAGCTGTCACTTCTCAAAACCCCCTGAGAACTGGTCACTGCAGGACCCTTCCCCACGCTTCCTGCAGTGCTGAGCACTTGGAGTTGACATCTCTGGGCTTCGAGTCGAGCCTGCTGTGATTTGGTGTTGTATGATGATCCTGTCCTGAGCAAAGGCTGCCCGGAGCACCCGTGGAGAAAGTGCCGTGGTGCCAACTGTGGGTGTATCTGGAGGTGGGTGACGTCAGTTGGGTGTCACGCTTGGGATTGCTGCTCCCGCCCCGGCACGGCAGAGCGGCCGCGGTGCCGCAGGATGGCGGTGGCTGCGCTGGAGCTGTTGTGCCACGACCTGGATGTTCCCATCGGCGGTACCAGGCTGGCGCATCCGGCACTGCTGCAGGATTTCATCTCCAAGAACCAGCCGAGTGATGCAGTTACCATGGAAACCATGGCTTTGGTTTCCATGGCAACCAGCCGGGTTTCCTTACAGGCAGGAGGAGAGGTTCCTCTGTCACCTCTGCTCATGGCCTGGTCCTGCCCAGCGCTGCTTTCTGCCATTAGCATCCATGGGAGATGGGGTCTGGGGGGTCCTGGAGGCGCAGGGTGCAGGCCGGGTGCAGCTCACTGCAGAGCCTGGGGACACCGGCTGGTGCCGTCTGGGGAGCTGGCTCCTGGTGTCCCTGCCTTCATGGGCTCTCCTGCATCGCAGCAGGTTGGGCTGAGTGGGGACGAGTGATTTCTCCAGATCCTGGACTTAAAACAAAGCGCTCATGGTGCCTGGAGAACTTAATAGGAAACGTAGCAAGATTCAGAGTAGGAATGTCCAAATGATGTAACTGATGTAAACTCCAGAGTGCTGCGGGTCAGTGTGGCACCTCTGCCAACAGAGTCCTGGGGACCTGGGCTGTTTGGGGACTGCACATCCCTCAGCACCCCGCTGTCTTCTGATGGTTCTGGTCACACTGTTTGTGGAGACAGGCTGGTGGACTACTCGTGCTGTAGATCTGTTGCAGCCTGGCAGTCCTTGCAGAGATGATTTTCTTAGAATTTAGCTTTTTTTCGTGCTATATATAGGAGTCAAAGCCCCGTACAGCAGCGGAGAGGCTGACGGGCTGGATCAGATCCGTGATGAATCAGGCGGAGGTCCTGCTGGTGGGATTGCTGCTCCGGGACCTCCCCTGTCCCAGCAGCTCCTGGTTTGCTGCAGCGGCTGCGATCCCAGTAGCAAAGAGTTAAAGAATCTGGTTCAGAATTGCAAATCACTTTCATGATTGCTCATTGATGAGGAATTTTTAATCAGTGAACGCCATGTAATAGAACACAACAGCTGAAATAAGCTTTCGGAAAAGCTCATAATTGAAAGTGTGTTTTTAAATTGCTAATATAATGTTTGTAGGGGGAGCTTTTTAATAAGACCTTTTAAATCTCACTGCTGCCAGCTACGGGGCTGGCGTTATTCTTGAAGCAAGCGCAGAGAAAGCATTATTTTCAATCTTGACATAAGAATAAGCAATTTAATTACAGCCACCTATAAAATGGAAAATTCTTTACAGTGACAAATGACTGTTGCTGCTTAGTGACAACAGTAGTTTGTTTCTGGTTTCTTTACCAAATAATGGCAAGTGAGATGCACACAAGGACCAAATAACAGCTCTGGAACAGAGAAGAACCGGCACAAAGGAGCGAAATGCTGCATCGGGTGTCACTGCGGTTGTGCTGGTCTTGCCTTAATCATCCACACGGGTAAAGGCTGCTCTGGAGCTGACAGCTACGTGTAGAGGAGGAAAATCAGATACTCGCAGAGAGCAAAAGCAAACCCTCGTATGGGTTTTGATTTGGTCACTGCTGTTTCAGTACAAGACGACTCTTCACCACTGTCCTTGTTGCCTTGTCACTGTCCCCAGCCGTGTGCGGCAGCAGCAGCCGCTCCGCGCAGTGTGGATGTTGGCTGCACCGGGGAGGGTTGTGGTCAGAGTCGGGTCATGGCCCTTGGTCTTCTGCAGGCATTGCCAGGCAAAGGACTTGCTCTCAGCTTCAGCATCAGGGCTGTTTTCCGTGGGACCACTCTATGTTATATTGTATATATCTGGCAGGGACGCTGATCCCTGCAGCAAACCATTACTGTGCACTCCCTTTGGCCGCAGCTCCCTATTTCACACGTGGGCAGGAGTTAAACTCTTCAGAGTGAAATGATCAACTTGTTTTCACCAGAGCCAGCAGCTGATTTGTGAAACTTCCCAACCATCAAAAGCCATGGATGGATTCATGTGGAAGTGAGGAAATCCATGATTTCTTCCTGGGGCAGGTCAGCTTCCCCCCCCATCAGGGTCAGGGTTTACTGGCTCTGTTGAGTGATGCTCTTGTGGAATTTTGCTAAGTGCATGGAAGTGAAGAATAAATGAGTTTTAAAGTTGTGATTCTCACCGCTGCTGCTTACAGTTAAAAAAACAGCAAGAGGGACAGAACTGGCCCCTTGGCCTGAAAACTGACCATTTTGAGAGGCTTTTAGCTGAGCTGAAGCCAGCTGTGCCAGGAGCAAGGCAGAAGCCTTGTTGAGAGGAGTTGTATCCATTTACTCATCTGGAATGGTGCCCTGCAAATACACATTGTTTGGCCAGTTAAAAAAATCTTTCTTTGTTACTATCAGGACAAAGGTACCTTTTCCTTTCTTTTTTTTTTTTTAAATTTTATTTTACTTTTCTATGAGGAGAAGGCAGGAGCTGCCCTAGTCATTGTGTTGGCTTAGGCTGAATTAACAGCCTGGCTGAACAGGCTTTAAAGTTATTCCTGGCTAACTTTTGAGATAAAAGAGCAGCACCACCACTGGAACGCATGAGGTCAGGTTCTGATTGCAGTTGTCCTGGAGAGCTCGAGAGAAATACAGAGCACTTATTCAGAAGATGGTGGGTCTGATCCTCTGCTGCTCTGCTAACCGTCAGGTTTGTGTTTCAATTCAGTGCTTGCCAGCGGTGAGTGAAGAGCATCCGTGCAGGGCAGGCTGGGTATGGCTGGTATTTTCAGGAGTGTGTGTGTGATTTAGAAACCCGATGGTGAAACGACTTCAGAAGGTGGACAGGCTGGATGTGGTTTTGCAGATTTCACTTACTTTGTCTCTTTTATGCTCATAGGAGGCTCATCAGTTTTCCTTCAGAAGGCAGAAAGCAGTTGCACACAGTAACCCTTTAGGTTTTCTTGGCCAGCTCTTGTCCTTTCCCTTTCTGCCTGAATTTGAAAGGCATAACTGTACATGAGCATGTTTTACACCAGCATAACTGGTCATTAAAAAAAAAAAAAGCTATGGACATGGGAGTAACCAGATTAGTGTAGATTATATTTGTCTTTATTCTCCTTTAATTTCTTTCTCTTACTTCTGTTTTTAGACTTTAAAGAGAAAGGAAAAAGAATATGAACATGAGATGGAGCGGCTGGCAAGAGAGAAGATTGCTACCCAGCAGCGACTGGCAGAGCTGAAGAACGAGTTGAGCCAGTGGATGGACATCTTGGAGATTGACAGAATTATTCGACAGACAGTTCAGCCAGAGGATGACCAGGCATCTACCTCGACAGCATCAGGTACCCATAATTACTCTCTTCTTGTAACTGTCACTGTATGTCACTGACACAGTTATATAGTGGTGATGGGAATCTTCATTCAGCCCCATCAAGGGTTTTTTTTCATTCAGAGTAAAGTAAAAGGTTTTCAGGTGTTTTGTAATCACTGATGTAATAATACACTGCAGCCTGTGTAAATGGAAAATCGTCCATCAACACAAGGTAGATACAGAGTGCAGGTTTGCGTGTTCCATCTGCTGGTACCTCACATGGAGCTTTCAAATCTTAGTTCTCCTTTTGCACAACTAACTACACGTCCCTGTTAGAGCTGAGTAGTGTGTGAGCATCCTGATGTGTTTGTGCTTGGATACGGGAGGGTGTTCAGCCACGTAGAGAAGAAGGAATTGGTACAGGAAGGATCACCAGAGCATTTGAACAACTCAATGAGCCTTCACCTTGTGTGGACAGGATTCACAGCGAAGATAAAATGATACTAATGAATATCTGGCGTGCTGTTCCCAGTAAGGAGTGTTTGTCAGATAGGAGAGTGCATGCTTGTCTCCACACCAGTCACCTGCAGCAGGAAGAACAGGCGGTCCGCGGATGTACGGTGCTTTGCTATCCAGAGATGGGGAGGCTGCAGCCGTCCGTAACCGTTTGCAGCAGTTCCTTCCAGTCGTGACAGCATTTGCTCTCGGCTCTCCAGGCAGCGAGCTCCAGGAAGGGAAAACCTGAGCTTTCTGGTTCAGTCAGGCCTGTATCAGGCTCATCCCCTTTGAACGTACCCGCAGACTCCGAGTGTAGGCTGATGGAAGTTGAGGGTAGGAGTGCTCTGTCGATAGGAGCTGCTCACCTCTCCAGCTGGCCTCTGCTGAAAATGATCGCTTCAGACTGCTCCTGACCGCAGAGCTTGCCAAGGGGAAGTGTCTTCCCTGGTTTTCCTGCTGCTTCTGTATCTTCTGAGATTTTTAATCTCTAGTGCATGGCTGGCTTTAGAGCAGGCAGCGCAAGATGCTCTGCTCATCTTCCTGATCTCCGCAGGGTCAGCATGTTCCTGCGTTGCTTCGTTAGTTCCTGGACTGGACGAGAGTCCATTTTCCAGAACCAGAGGAGGAGCTCGCTGCCATGTTTTCCATGGCTGTTTCCTTCCTGCTCTGGGAGCAGAAGGGCTGGTACCAATCAATGGAACAACAGGACAGGAAAAGAAAGGAAACCCTGTTCCTCTTCCCAGGAGGCCTCTTCAGCCCAGACAGAGTTCAGCCCAGGTGCTCTCCATCTGCCTCCGCTCACGTTGCTTCCCATGCCTGCCAAGCGAGATCCCAGCCTGTTGTGAGCACCACTCTCTAGCCAGGGCTTCGAGCTAGTCTCACCAGCCTGGCTCTGGGTCCTTGGCCCACAAGCAGGGAGGAGAGGGGTGTTCCACCCCACTGGAGCTTGGTGGAGCCTGCCGTGCCGTGCTGTGCCGTGCCGTGCCGTGCTACCTGCCCATAGCTCAGTGACTCCTGCTGCTGTCTCTTCTGCCTGTGCTGCCGTTCAGGGAGGCTGGTTAGTCCAGTTCGTGCTCTGCTTTCTTTTTTATGGGAGTTTCTTCCTTTCATTTTTTCCAGAGGGTGAAGACAACATGGATGAAGACATGGAAGATGACAGGCCAGTGAACTCATTACCAAAACTAACCCAGCGCCAGCACCCTGAGCTCCTGAAAGCCGTCCCTTCAAACGCTGCTTCCCACCACCCGGCAGTCCTGCCTCAGCACCTCTCCATCCAGCAGAAACAACCCCCAGCCCACGCACAGCCTCCCATCCAGACACAAGCACTGGTCCAGCCGCAGGGCACAGACTCACATCGTGGCGGCTTCGACAGTGCAATCGACTGTTATTGCCCACACCGCCACGACCCACGCTTCGGTCATTCAGACTGTCAACCACGTCATTCAGGGTCCACAGACCAAGCACATTGCTCACATTGCACCTTCCACCTCCAGCCCTGTGCAACTTACCACTGCTGCTCAGCCCATCGGCCACATCACTGTGCACCCGGCCACCATCAACCACATGGCCCACCTTGGCCAGCAGCTGCCCATCTACCCTCAGCCCGTGGCCGTCAGCCAGCCCGTGGTGAGCCACATCGCTCACACCATCTCACACCAGCAAGTGAACGGAACCACAAGCCTTGGCCAGCCAGCGGTGATGGCCAAGCCTGCTGTAGGAACCCAAGTTGTCCATCACCCGCAGTTAGTTGGGCAAACAGTCCTAAACCCGGTGACTATGGTAACGATGCCATCATTCCCAGTGAGCACGCTGAAGCTGGCCTAGCGGGGATCGTCCCATGGCGAGGTCTTTGTTGGGAACCTTTCCTAAACTCCATACATTCCAACCACGTCCGACTCCGCGGGAGGGAGGGAGCGAGGGAGGGAGGTGGCAGGAGGCCGGGCTGGGCTGTCCTCAGCCGCCCAGTTACCAGCCCGCCGCGGGCAGCGAGGGACGGGGCCTCTCTGCACTTGGATCTTGCTAATCCGAGAAAACTTCAAAGACAGTTGTTCATGGTGATTTTTTTTCCTTTTATGTGTAATCAGTGAAATATGGATATGACGTTCTTAAGACTTTAATTTTCCCCTTTTATGTGTTGCTTCTTTGTAGAATAAAAATTGCTGATCTCTTTATTGAGACGTTGCGTAGAATGGGAAAAAAATCATAGAAGTCTATATTTATATATATGTGTGTATGTGTGTGTATATATATGTATATACATATATATATAAATATAACATTTGAAGAAGGCCTTTTGTAAGGTTGATTATTTTGCAGGATTATTAGACAAAATTCATTTTTGGAGGAAGAAGACAGAGTGTCCTCTCTAAACAGGAAACTAAGGTAGATGGTTTGGTGGACCAGGGTACATATACAGCAGCAAAAAATACCCAAACAGTTAAACCACGTTAAAGGTATTTCCCATCAATAGATGACATTTCAAAGCAACCATCTAAAATCACTGTGACTTGTTACGGCATTTTAAGGAAATTCTCTGTCCTGTCTAATAAAAGGAAAAAGAATACACACCCGGACTTGATTTGTTGCAGTTTTATAAATGACTTGATTTTTATAGCTATGTCAAAAAAAAAAAAAAAGTTTTTTATTATTTTAATAGTTGACAATGTTTTTTGTTTGGATGGTTTTTGGGGGGGTTTGTTCTTTGTTTTAACTTGGTTTTGCTGATGCAATAATTGGTTTTGCAGATCTCTGTGCATGGCACCCCCCCTTTGAGGATTCCTCATGCCAGTCCCAAGCCCCCAGGTTTCTTGGGTTCGTTTTTGTTTTGCAGAGGCAGATATTAGACCGTGCTTTTGCCATGTAAGACTGGACTAGATGATCCTTGAGGTCACTTCCAACCTGGTATTTTTGATTCTGTGACTCTGATTTTTTGTGCTGGTAACTTGCAATATGTTTATCTGGCCTGAGAGAGCAGAACCTGGGACAAGACAACCAACAGAAATGAAGTAGATTTGCTGCATGGTTACTTTTCTTTTGTGAGCTGGTTCCTGAACTGACCACGTTTTGGTGTGGGAGTCAGTGGATGAGGAAAGGGAGAAGTGTGCATGTGGTATCTTCCAAAGTGCAAGCAGGTGTGATGTCTTTTTTTTTTGGGGGGGGGAGTGGAAAAAAAATAATGTAGTGTTGCACAGGATGACGGTATGCTCGAGGAGATCAGTGTGTACAACTTGTGTCTTACAGGCGAGAGAGAGACGTGCACCAAAGAACAGCCCCCTCATCCTCAGTCACCCTCTTGTTCCATCCTTGGCCCTGGTTAGGTCAGAGCTCGCTGAAGTCAGTGGCAAACTCCCTCGGAGCCAAGACAGGAGGGATGTTGTTTGGCTCTGTTGGTACTTGCCAGCCTGCCTGGGAGGTTGCTGAGGACGTGTTTGCTGACTGAATATTCTGGTCCTTGCACCATTTTGTGTCTGGTATTGCTCTTGATGTTCTTTTCCGTCTTCCTTCTCTTGTTAAAAACAAGTACTCTGCAGTCCTTAGCACAGGCGAGATCCCTGCTGTAGCCAGCAGACGTTTTCCTTGCGGCAGGAAGGGAGGATGGTCCCTGCTGGCATCTGACCAGGTACACATCTGACCTGTCCAGAGGAGGTGAGGTGGGGCTGAGCAGTCACACCTTGGCTGTGCTGGCCAGCTACCTCTAGTTGTGGGTTGAGATGTTCCCCAGGAAAGCGTGAGCCACAGTCTGCCCAAAACGCCTCTTGACTCCAGCAGCTTTTGCCTGGTTGTGGGCTGCTGTGGACAGTGGCAGAGGTTTAATTAAGAAAACTTGCCAGTTCCATACCAACCGTACCATCCTGGCATGATTGAACCTGGGCTGGAGGCAGGAGTAACCACTGCAAGCAGAGATGGAGCGGGATCGTGCCTTCTGAGCAGGCGTGGCTGGGAGCTGCATTCAGTCTGTGTGGGCTGCTCCATAGTTAACACTTCTCTTGGGTTTTGGTTTTTGGTTTTGTTTTTTTCCCTTGTATCCTCGAGTCCAGGAAGCTCTTGCCCATGTTGCTAGCACAGTTTCTACAGCAGAATGGACAAACCTGTAAGGATCCCTTATCCTGAAACCACATGTGAACAGATCACTTGTCACTCCCAGTGCCCCACTAACGCTGTGGGGGAAGCACAATCACGGGGGCGTTGCCATCTCCCTGCACGTGCTGGTGCTCTCCCAAGGATGGTGTTTTGTGTGCCAGTATTTCAAAGATCAGCGTTAGATGTCAGGACAGTTGCTCTTCATCAGAAACTCTTGAAAACTTGAGGGTCATCTCCCTTTTTAGGAGGAACTGCGTGGCTTTGCCTTCTGTAGCTGTATTAGGAGAGGGAGGAAGCATCTTTCTGCCTTTCTTCACTGTTCCAACTCATAAAATCGAGGCAGGAAGCCTCATTTCTAGTCAGGAGTGGCTGAGTTTATTGAAGGAGAAGAAGCCCAGATTGAGAAGTGGGGCTCAGCACGAGCGTTGGCCGAGAGCCCCTCTGTCCCCAGTATCGTTCCTGAGTGCCATGTTGGCAGGAGCTGCGGGATCAGCCCGCGCAGGATGCTCCTGCTCTTCCATGCAGTTTTTCCTGACAGCTTCTGTGTTGAAAACTGCTCCCACTTCAACCCCGTTGGCTTCTTGTCCCGAGATAGGTGCTGGTGGCTGGCAGTGACCCAGGCACGCAGCTGCTCTGGGTTTTCCACAGTAAGGGGTGTAGGGAGTGGAGAGAAGAGTTTCCCTTTCGTTTGAAGCAGATGAACAACCTTTCCTGTGGTAACTTAATGGCCTTTGCTGCGTGGACAGTGGTGCTGCTGCCCTCATCTCTTACTCCCTATGGTTTAAAGGTAACCGTGTTCACGTGCGAGTCCCATGTCCCTGCTGGTTTTTCTCTCCCCCTTGGAGTCTGCAGTGCCGTTGGGTCTGAACCCCTCTGTCAGCGTTGGCCTCCGCTCGAGGAGCAGCTCGTCCCACTTGGGCAGCCCCTTACCTGGGCTCATCCCGGGTCTCATCTGCCTTCACAGCTACCAGAAATGTTTCTTTGGGGTTTTTTGATTTGTTTTTTTTTTTTTTAAAGTCAGCAAACTTCTTTCTGTTCGGTAGGGAAAAGGGCAAACCACAGCCCTTCTTTCCCCATGTCTGTCATTCCTGGTCAGAAACTTTGGATTTACGCTAATGCTCTTAGAAATCATGTTCAGTACTGTATAACAAGGGGCACTTTAGAAATGTCTCTCCTCCTTTGATATATGTGTTTTCCCTATGGAGAAAGCTATATATAAATATATATATGTACACTTTGGGATTCAGAAGATCTAATTTGTCCCAAACAAATCAATAAATACAAAGTTTACAAGAAATCTCTTCTGTTGTTGAATAATATTAGTTGTTGGTAACCGTACCACAGAACGAGCAGCAAATGGGTTCTGTGTAGTAGTTCTGAGAAGCCTTTTCTGTCCTGTCCAGCCTGACGCGGAGCCTGTAGGTCAGTGGAGACGCTTCCACCCAGGGCAGGCTCCGGGTGCATGGTCTGCAGCGCTGTGCTTCCCCCCTCCCAGCCTGCGTGTTCCACGCTTCACCCCACGCTACCAACAGCAAAAACACCCTCAAGAGCTTGAGCTGCACTCAGAACCTGAGCCAGCACCGTCCTGTGTGTTTGAAGCAGACGCAGGAGATGCAGGTGAGCGCAGAAACCCTCGGGCAGCTGCGGTCACACGCAGAAATGCTCTCTTGCTTCTACAGCTTCCCCAGGCTGGGGAGCTGGACCGCGCTGATCTGCGAGCCCAGCCTGCCCGGG